GCTTGAGCCCAGGAGTTTGAGGTTGCTGTGAGCTAGGCTGACGCCACGGCACTTTAGCCCAGGCAACACAGTGAGACTCTGTCTCAAAAAAAAAAAAAAAGAAAAAAAAAGTTACCATTGGTGTAATACTATTTTCTAATTTATAATCCATATTCAAATTTCTCTAATTATACCAATAATATTCCTTATAGCTTTTTTTTTCAATCCAGAATTCAACTCAGGATCATGCATTGCATTTAGTTGTCACATCTCTTTATAATCTTTTAATCTAGAAGAGCTAACCAGTATTGTTTTTTACAACGTGGACGTTTTTTAAGAAGATAGGCTAATTGCTTGGCAGAATTGCCCTCAATGTGGATTTGTCTGTTTCCTCATAATGAGATTCAGATCAAACATTTTTGGCAGGAATATCACATAGGTGATGTGTCCTCAGCACATCACATCAAGGGCCACAAAAATGTTAGTTTGTTCCATTATAGGTTATGTTAAATTTCATTATGATGTTAAAGGTGATATCTGCCAAGCTTCTCCATTTTAAAGATATTTTTCTCCTTTGTAATAAATAAGTAGTCTGTAATATTTTGAGACTGTGCATGAAGCCAGCTTTTAAACCCAAGTAGCAACAGTTGGGTTGAATGTGAAATAAAGAACACTCTCTCTGAAAGAGATGAAGCCAAGGCCTCAGTCACTTAGATTCCTGGGTTTCAGGCTTCCTAGAGCAGTCCCTGCTGGGGGACAGAACAGAGACAGGTAGAGGGTCGGATGTACTTTACGGAATGTTATCATCAATCCAGATACCTCTGACCACCATCTGGGAGTTGTACGCTGCAGCTTATGTACCTTGTGGAGGGAATGTGGTCATTGGTTCTGCCTAGCAAAATTGCTTTGTGGTCAGAACTCTGTATCCAATAATCCCATGAGCTCTAAAGCTGGGGTCACCCTGGTCAGAGCCTTCAGATTGGGAGTGAAAGGAGTTTGCAGACTCTCTAGTCCTACTTCTATCTCAGGATTTCATCCATGAAACGAGAATAACCACCACCACTACTCAATTACTCCTGGTTCTTGGCAATTCCCAAAATGAGGGGCCGCTATTCTAGTCAAGAGTAGTTTCATTTTGGCCACAGGAGAAATCTGGTCCCTGCTCCTTAGCAGGACCAGAAAAGAGGACAAATGAGAAAGAGTAGAATAAGCCATCCTGAACACCAGGAGCCATCAACCAAGTTAGAAAAGAGGTTTGTTCTCTTTCCTGCTGATTCAGAAGTTTTCTCATTCATGCTTTTTCCCTTTTTGCTTTTGAAGATGATGATGCCCCACCCCAGAATGTGGCCCTACCACTGGGTCTTCTACCCCCAATAAAAGGGAGAAAAAGTCCAGAGAGCCAGAGGGACCTGGACGGGGGCCCCAGGACATCAGGCTGCAGCAGCCCTCCAGGTCCCCCGAATGCAAGAACGCCCAGGAGGGCACCGCCAGCAGGACAAGGTAATTGTTCCTGGGGTATATGGCTGCCCCCCTCATTGGCTTGTCCATGGCTCATCTCCAGGGCTGTGTGGCAGCCCTGATGTAAGTTTTCTAGAAGGCACCCTGTTGAAAAGGAGAAATCGGCAGTGTTTCTGATGATGTCAGCGGGATTAATGTTCACTATGCATATTCCTAAAGAGCCAGTACATGTTTTAAGGGTTTGCTGCACCAACATGCACTGCCAAGCTGTTGTGTGCTCTCCTCACTCCTGGCAGCTGTGTGTGATGACACAGCTCCCCGAGTTCCTGGGGGAGATCCACTGCTGTATTTACTAGGCACACTCCACACCCTTTGGGGACAAGGGAGCCTGATGACCCTGCCAACAGGAGGAGTCCCCAGAGAGAAGTCACCCCCCAGCCCAGGGCAGAGCCCGAGGCCTGTTCACAGAAAGGGAAGACCCTGGTTATTTCTACTGAAGCGTGGGGCAGCGCAAAGCCATGCCCTCTAAGACAGCTTCACTTCAAGTTCTTATCCTTAGGGGTTGACAGTCAAGGAGGGGACTAAGTTGTTTGGATAAGAGCAATAATGCAAGGACAGTGCACTAGCAGCTCCCACGGGAGCTTTGATCTAAAGGTAGGTCACCAAGCAAAAAGTGCTTAGAATCCAAATTACCCCTGAAAATCCCTAGGGAGGTGCCATGTGAAGACTGACAGACCGTTTTCAAGAAAGTGCCGTCCTGCCAGCTGTTCCTCCTGCATTGGCACCTTGGGTTGCTTTCTCTGGTTGCACACCAGATGAAGGAGATGGCATTTGTTTGGGGGACAGATTGTGTGAAGAAAGAGGTATCTCTTGTTAACAGCAGAATCACACTCGGGGCTGTAAGAAACTCACACTTTGAGAGGCACGTGAGAACTGAGAGCCCTCAAGAAGGCAATAGATGTCACATCTTTCATTTCATGCTCACTCAGAGACAGAATGCCTCAGTATTGAATCAAGATGGAGAGATGCACAGGGTAAGGGGTGTGTGTGTGTGTGTGTGCATCTCTTCATCTAGTCCTTCATCTGTATCCTTTATAACATCCTTTATAATAAACCAGTAAGTATTTCTCTGAGCTCTGTGAGCCATCCTAGCAAATTACTAAACCCAAAGGGGGGTTGTGGGATCCTCAGTTTATATCCAGTCAGAAGTATAGGTCACAACCTGGCATCTGAAGTGTGGGGCGGTCTTGTGGGACTGAGCTCTTAACCCATGGGGTCTGACACTATCTCCAGGTAGAAAGTGTCAGAATTGAATTGAATTACAGGACACCCACTTGGTGTCTGCTGGAGAATTGCTTGGGGTGGAGAAAACCCCACGCGTCTAGTCATAGAAGCGTTCTGTGTTGAGTGTGCAAGTAGAGTTGGGAAAAATGATTTGTTTTTCACTGTTACAGTAAGGTTATAGAAATGCCATCAATCTTTCTAAGTCACTGAGGGAAAGTCAGCCTCCTTCTCCTGCTTGGCCTGAGCCCCTGGAGTCACTAAGCAGTCCCAGCATCGGTCCACAGACTGCATGGCTGTACATGCCGAGTACTGCTCATGACATCCGCCAGAGAGGGAGAGCGAGGCAGGAATCACCAGGGCCTGCGCTACACACACCTGGAGGAAGGGGCTTCCTTTCCTTTCCTTTCCACAAAGGTGCCCCCACCAGTCTAGCCCGGCCCCTGAGGTGCCCAGAGGGCCTGCCTTTCCCAGACTCTCACAAAGGCATGATATAGTGGCAGCCCCCCATTCATCCCACCATGACCCTAGAGGACAGAGCCTAAACAATGGCCCTGCTCTGCTGAGTCCCAGGAGTAGGCCTTACCCTATGCTCTGGTGAGCACCTGAGCATGTGGGCATCTACGTGCTTGTGCCCACCGGGGATGAAGGGGAACATGGTCCGGGTTCAGCCCATGCTTGTGCTTATTTTCAAGAAGATTCCAGAGACCCCACACTGCGACACTTCTTGCCGGGTCCAGCTGGAGAGAACATCTGCCTGTCCCTCCCAGGGCCTACCCAAACCGAGGTGCTTTCGTCAGGTGAAGGTAAGACAACACATTCCAGGGCAGCCTTGTTTTCAAAGGGGAAGATTTTACCTACAGCTTCCAAAATTTCCCAGCAGCAGAGGCATCATTAAAAACAGACGCAAGTCAGCCAGTTTCGCCCCTTCGCTGACACAGAGGTGCTTCTGTAGCTCAGACACAATAACCCAATGTTTGCATAACAAGTTTACTCTTGCTGGAGCCTCTGGAGAGAGAAGTTCCAGTGGAATGGCTTGGAAGAGGTCTAATGTGCCATGTTGATGCCTTGATGAGAATGATAAAGCCCTTTTGGTATTTGCCCAAACTAAACACTGCCTTTTCTCTTCTTTCCAAACACCCTCCAGAGGTGGAGGTGGCTAATTGGTAATCCAATCAGGTATCCTTGTTATGTGCGTTGGTTCATTGCTGTGAATCATCTGGCTCCTGACAGATAGCAAGGCGGTTTCCAAAAAACCCTTCTGGCATGTTAACTTTTTGGAAAAGAGACGCTGGCTCTGGGCAATAGCCATTTTGCAAAGCAAAAAAGAAATGAAGTCAGAGGGTGATGAGCATCAACCACCCAGAAGCCATCAAGACGTGTACGCATGATTTGTACAGCCGGCAGGCCCCTTGATGAGGGAGAGTAAAAGCTACAACATTTGGTGGGTCGTGTCACAACTGGCTTAATAAAAAAAGGATGGATTCAGAGCCAGGAGATTTGAGTAGCTCTGGCCTGTCCTCTGTGTTGCCAGATGACTTTGGGTCGGTTCCTTATCCTCTCTATATCCAAGGTTCCTCAACCAAAATGACAGGATTGACTCCTCCACTGAGAAATTCCTGGACTATTGCTGCATTTTACATCTTGCTGCTATTGAACTAGTCACCTAGTATATGGATTTCCAGAAAGTAGAATGCATTTGGTTCCAAACACAGCATCAAAAACTTCCACCACCACTTGGTTTATACTATGATATGGGTATAAAAATATCATGGTTCCAAATTGGTAGAAGCAAGAGTTAGACAGGTGGAGGCCACTGCCAGCACGACGCAGCTGGTACAACAACTGGAAAGCAATTCTGGTTCTGTTCACCTGTTGCACATTTGTCCACTCTGTTGCAGGAGAAAAAGTTCCCCTTTTGGCAAAGCAAAAGCCAGAAGAAGAAAAGGAAATATTTAGGCTTTAAGTTTGCTGTTATTATTGTCAATATGATGCTTCAATCATTTCAGTATCTCTGGCACCTGGCAGAGTCCCTGACATATACATAGCAGGATCACAATAAATATGTATTGAAAAATCTTTTGAAAATTTCCACATGAAAGAGAGAAAGATGAAATTTATGCTGAAGATTTACCTGCCATCTGCCCCAGTCCCATAACAATATATTTAATCCTACTTGCCTCTCAAACCTGAAGGTATTCACTGTGTGCATGTTGAATGAATGAATGAATCATTGAGTCACTCTTTCTAGCCTTTCCTCCATGGACAGCTGGTTGACCTTCAGTCTTGATGGTGACAGGATGGTGCTCTGGAAGGTAGGGAAGGATCTTAAACCCACTTCTCCCTCCAAGGGTCCGTAGAACAGGTCTAGCTTTCTAAGCACCCCTATTAAGAGGAAAGGGGGTCTTGCTTTGAGGTTTTTTTTGTTTGGTTTGGTATGAGAAGCAGTATACTAAAAAAACTTTTTCCTCTTGCAAAGGAATTGCTCCAACCACAGCGAACTCTTTGCAGCTCAGTTTGTTCAGATCCATCTTGAACACCATCTCCACCCTCCACTCCCACTCTCATCCCCCACTATATTCCAGCCCACCCTTTTCTCATCTCTCTGATGGCCCAAACATTCAGTCTTTATTCTTTTCTTTCCTAGCGTTTGCCCAAGTTGCCCCCAAATATTTAGAATAGCTTTAAGTTCATTTTTTCTGGGATGTTTTCCTTAATAAATCCATTTGATTACATACAATGCCTAGATGTAGTCTCAGCCCATTCCTCTCTCTCTAAGCCCACTTATGTGGTTATTGTATTTATCTGCGTCTGTTTTCTGTTTAGCTCCCAATATATGAGTGCTAGAGAACTTCTATCTTTATTATATGTCCAAGAAATGCTTGCTGATTGACTGAATACCCCAGGTGCCACAAAGGAAAGTTCCTTGGGGATCATAGTTGTGGTTTTTTTTAATAAAAAAAAAAAAAAACTCTTGAGTAAAGGAGGGAATATGATCTGTCTGATCTTTCTGAGACTTTCAGACTCTGTCAACAACTATTTGGAAATAAATTCTTATGCAATTAGATCATGATATCTTGCTTTCAGACAGCATAGAGAAATGAATATAAACCTTCAGAAGAAAAAAAAAAAAAAGATTTGAAGACTAGAGCTGGAATTTGACCCCTTTGGTCAGGTTAAGATATTGCAACATTTAGAAAATTCAAAGGCTTAAGAAAGGAAAAGTTAACTTGGAAGGATACAAGTCAAAACATTGGATACACTCTCCGAATTACTTATCCTTGATTGAAATCCTTCATGTTTTCTCCTAGTCACAGTGCCAGCAATAGAAGTTTTCTCTCAGAAGTTCTTTTATTCAGAAGTTTATTTTGCAAGAAGTTCAAGGATGTCTATGCCAATGACTTGGGTTGGAACCTCAGGTCTCTTTCAGAGTTTCTAAATAGTATTTTTGTCCTAAATGGATTTTCACCCTCAACATATTTCTTGGGGTTGCGGAGTGTTGTTTTGGTTTGGTGCCTCTTTTTTTTTTTTTTTTTTGGTCATTTAATTAGCATCCTTCCCCCTTGCAATTCTTTCTTGGTGTGGTAGTTTTAAAATATGTCCAAAAATTTGTTGATACTTCTCCCTTCAAAAGGGAGAAACTAACTCTCCTCCCCTAGAATGTGATCTGGATATAGTGGCTCACTTCTAGTAGGTATAGACTATGACAGAAATGATGGTATGTGACTTCTGAGACTGGGTCATAAAAGGCACTGCGGCTTTCTCCTTGCGCACGCTCTTTCTCTCTCTCTCCCTCTCTCTCTGATTACTCACTCTGGGGAAAGCCAATCACCATGTCTGTCATGAGGCCACTCAAGCAGCCTTATAGCAAGCAGTCCACATGGCAAGGGACTGAAGCCTCCTTCCAGCCACCAGAATGAACTTTCCCGGCTTGTGAGTGAGCTGCCTTGAGAGGAGACTCTCCAATCCCAGTTAAGTCTTCAGATAACTGCATCCTTAGCTGACATCGTGACTGTGACTACACAAGAGACTGCACCAGAACCACACACCTAAGCCACATAACAAAGGTGTATCATTTTAAGTTACTAGGTTTTTGGGTAATGGGTTTTGCGGCAATAGATAACTAATACACTTGGTACCATTTCCTGATGGTCTGTGATTTGGTAAACAGAAAGAGGATCAGTCCAAAAATATCCCAGCTAGTCTCAAATCACTGATTATTTGAGGGCAATCATATGCTAAGTGGTTGACTTTCTCTTTGTTCTCCCAATTTGTCATGTGTAATAGGTTGGTTGTGGGGGCCATGGGTTAAAGAATCCTTCCATGTTAGTGGGGTATTTGACAAAGCATGATTTTCATTGAGTAGCCCATCTCTTAGTAGCTGCTACCTTAGTGATGCCGCCGAGAGATTTAGAAGAGGAGAGTTGCTTTTGATGAGGCCATGTGAGGAAAAAGAAAAAACTCTGGTTTTTTTCTCAGCTCTACCACCTATAATTTCTGTGATCATGGGCAAAAAACTTCATTGCTTTGGACCTCAGCTTTCCCATATGGAAAAAGAGGAGGTGGTGTTAAATCCAATCCTCCCAGCACATGTCCCAGAGAATGCCAGTTCCTCAGAAGGTTAACAGGCATTATGTGAAAAAGGAAAGGCTCTGGGTCAAACGCATTTGGAAACCAGTGGGCTAAAGCTAAGCAGATTCCTTACTGCAGGACTTCACGGAGCCTCTAATATGCTAATGTGAATCATGGTTCTTTGAGATGGAGATATGCACTGTTTCCTAAACTTATTTGACCACTGAATACTTTTTTTTTTTTTTTTTTT